TCAATAAAACTGTTATTTGGAAAAGGTTCCACTACATAGAATATTTTCATAGGTGCAAACTAATAGAATTTCAATTTATATTTATAATTTATTTAAAAAATTCTTAGTCTTAGTAAACATTTAGAGCTTTAGAAATATGAAATTACGTGTGACTTAAAAAGTTTTTTTGTTCAGTAGTAATACATGTTTATTATAGAAACTTCAGAAACTTTGGATAAGAAAAAAGACACTTAAAAATGTGTGGGTCTTTAAATATTCATATCTACTATGTATTCTATATCTAAGCTTTCCCTGTACTTAACTACAGTTATGTACCACATAATGATGTTTTAGTCAACAATAGACCTCATAAACGATGGTGGTCCCATAGATTATAATGGAGCGGAAAATCTTTTATCACCTAATGACGTTTATCGCCTAGTGATGTAGCCATCATGATGTTGTAGTGCAACACATTACTCATGCATTTGTGGTGATGCTGGTGTAAACAAACCTACTGTGTTTCCAGTCACATAAAAGTATAGCACATACAAATATGTATAGTACACAATACTTTATAACGATAATAAACTACGTCACTGGGTTATACATTTATGATATACTATACTATACTTTAAAAAAAATTTATTTTATTATTAGTTTCAGGTATAAAGTACATTGGTTAGACATTTATATAGTTTATAAATGATCCCCCTAAATATGATACTATACTTTTTATCATTATTTTAGAAGGACTCTTTCTACTTATAAAAAAAAAGTGCTGTTAAATAATATGCCATATTTCGCAGTCAGCAGCCTCATATATCAAGTGTTTACCGAGTCTCTTGATCACATCATTTTCTCTTGTGCCTGATTTAATCTTGCGTTGTTTTATAAGTTTAGTGTAGCCTAAGTGTACAGTGTTTATAAAGTCTACAGTATTGTACAGTAATGTCCTGGGCTGTCACATTTACTCACCACTCACGCACTGATTCCCCTAGAGCAACTTTTAGCCCTTTGAGTTCCATTCATGGCAAATACTCTTTACAGGCGTGCCATTTTTTATCTTTTATACTGTATTTCACTGTACTCTTTCTACTTTTAGATGTGTTTAGATACACAAATACCTACCATTGTGTTACAAATGTCTACAATATTCAGTACAGTAACATAGTTTCAGTACAGCTGTATAGTTTTGTAGCCTAGGAGCAATAGGCTACATAATATAGCCTACGTATGTAGTAGTTTATGCCATCTAGGTTTGTGTAAATATACTGTATGATGTTTGCACAACAACAAAACCACCCAACAATGCATTTCTCAGTATATATCCCTGTTGTTAAGCAGTGTACGACTATCCTTCCTTGGTGTCCATCCATCTGGCAGCTTTCCTTAGTAATAAATAGCTTTTCAAGACCATCTGAGGAAAACAATTAGGTATGAAACTATATTCTTGTAAGAATAGTTTACTGAAAGCTTTTGCTTTTTTGTCCTGGACTGTGAGAGGTGTACATGAAGGTGAGCAATAATATCACTATCTAAAAAGAAATACAATAAATATATTGCAGAATAACTTTTAAAATACAGTTAGTTTAGGATTTTGTTGTAAAAATTTGCTTTAGAACATTTTGGATTTAAAGTGAAAACTCAGAATCTTTGATAAATAATTAATATTGTGAAATTGGTTCTTGTATAGCTGGACTGTTTCTCTATCTTTTTAAAAACTCTTGTTATCATATTTAGCATTAATTTTCTAAAATTGTTCACAACAGTTTAAAGATAATTGCAGTATCAGGCTTTGAATTTTTTTTTTTTTTGGTAAATATTAAGACCTGAGTACAAAATGAGGGCTGTATTGTGGATTAAGTGAAATATCTCAAGGCTGTGCTGTTCTGATAACTGAACCTGAAGTGACCTTTCTCAGACACAATTACAGAGCTGTATGTTTTTCCTTTAATTTCATCAGGGGTTTAATTAGTATACAAATAAAACTTCCCTTATCTTCCTTTCTACCTAATTGGCTTGTCTTCGCTTATATATGAAGTATGTGAAAGTGGGCTGTAATTAGGGTGACCGTGTTAACCTTTTTTCCTCAAATGTACTGTTGCCTAAAGGCCTCAAGGCCTAAAAACAGTGCTTTGGATTATTGCTTTGCAATCACTATGGCTGTCCCATAGGTTTTCTCATGAGCAGAAGGGCTTTGGGTGCTGCAGGTTCCCACTGCTTAACAGGATCTTCATTCTTCTCCCCACTAAATGTTTATTGATTATCTTGCTGTTCCAGGCTCAGCCTCCAACAACTTAATATCAGGTGACAGTCAAGAGAGTTCTCCAAGTAATTAGAGTTGAGCATTGGGGGAACAATTAGGAGCAGAGTTATTAAACTTGATTTATCCTATTCTCTCCTGAACAGTTTCTTGGATATCAGAACATCACACTTTCACAATCTACCCTGGTTGAGAAATTAGTGGCTAACCTGCTGCTTATCATTGTTGCCTTGCTGCCTGGAGGCACACCCTCTTGGTTTCAGTCATTCAGTCAGAAATATTAGAGTCCGTAAAGTTTATCATGGGTTTTAATTAGATAAATCGAAATAGGAGAAAAGAAAAGCTGAACTTAAAATTTTATATATATATAACATATATTATATATGATATAGGTACATATGTATAACACATATATATATATATACACACACACACACATATATAAATATATTTTTCTTTCCTGAAAGCTCAGTGTTAGGATTTTAAAGATAAGTACTTTTGTCAACAAAAACAAAAAATGTGAATATTAGGGAAAAGACATATTATTGGATCACTTTTATGTCTTGGTGTTTTTTGCATATCTCCTTGGACCCACTGATGGATAGAGGTTCCATTGTGATGTCCCTCAACTCCTGAAAATGGGAATTCTGTGTCTATAAGTTATAGAACTATGATTAAAAAAAACCTGTATTATCTCTTCATTTTTACAGTATAGAAGTATGATCTATATCACTTTGCTTATACTACTTTTTGTTCATTTTCTGTAATTTCAGTCTTAGAATAGATGATTCAGTTACCCCTCTGAAACAGTGTAAGCTATAGGAGAGATTGGTGGCTCCCTGCCATTGCCCCTGAAAGATGAAAATGAAAGATGGAGACATATAGTGGAAATTTTAATTTTATGAGTTATATCTTCAAAGGATATCGTAGAATTGCTGAAAAGTCAAGTGTGGTTTTATAATGATTCCAAGGTCATGGGTTCACTCAGATTGGACAAGTGAGCTTCAGTCTGTACAAGGCTAGGGACGATATCCTGAATACTCCTCATAATTATCCACTTCTAGTCATAAGAATTACTGAGTAAGAAAATTTGAATGGATTGGCACAAATCTATTATTTCTGTTGGAAAAGAATTCGAGCTTTATGTGTAACTGTTGGTGGATCATTAGTTTTATCTTCATACCTGAAAAATAGCAATTTTTTATTACCTGAGAGGTGTCAGAAATACTGGATAAAAAAAGACTCAAATATGGATTTCATTTTTTTAAATGCTTTTAAATATCTTAACATTGGCACAAAATAAGTAGGTTTACCACGGCTTTTAAAATCTGTTCTTTGTTATCTTTTTGAAGTTGGTTTGAATCAGTGACTGTTTCCATAGTTAGATGTTCTTAAAGATCTGTTAATACTAAAGATTTAAAATAAAATATAATATCTGACAAGTAGCTTTTTTTTAACTTGCTTATTTTTAACTTGACCGTTTGAAAAGTGAAATATTGAATTTAAAACCTTAACATTTTAAAATACCTGATTTGACTGATGATTGCTTTCAATTCACTAACATTTAGAATGAATTGCTTTAGCTCCATGCAGGCAGCTTGATTTTTTTATGCTACCCATTGTGAATGCATTAAAAGAATATTATTAGAAGAATTTTAAACATGAAATTATCACATTTTGGTTATTCTTTACTGGATATTTGAAGTGCGGTTGTGGACAGTAATGAGTCGCTAAACTCTGAGCAAGTAGAAAAAATATGTATGCAATCAATTATTCAGCTCACTGTCCAACAAATTTAAATGAAAAACTGATAAGCTTATATTCTGGAAATGTCATAGGCAAAGGAATGAAAAGAGTTTTAGTGCTAAGAGATACTCTGACCCCCCATACTGTTTTACATCCTAGAATTTTAAATGAGGTCTGGAAAATTCTCCTTTAAATTGTGAGTTTCTGATTTTAAGACTTTTAGCCTTAAAGTTCCAAAATTAAGTTGTATACTTGCATCTTAATATTTTTATTCTAAATGAATATTTCAGATTAAAACAAATACCAAATATCAGTCAATAGATTTTATACTTCCGTGACTAGAAAAATATTTATGGAATATATATAATTCAAAATGCAAGTATTATTTATACCTTCCTCTCTTGAAGCATATTGATCATATTGTGTTGCTATTCTTGACATGAGAGTAATTTATGGAAAGTAAGTGAATTTTATTTTGGAGTCCAGTTTGCCCACTTACTTGTCTATAGCAACTATTATAGGTATATTTATAAAGACAGTAATGGTATTTTTAAATCTCGGGTTCTTTATACTCTTACAGGTATCATAATCCCCCTTCTTCTCAATCATATACACAGTTTGGGCATGTGTAGTTCTGGTTTTTAATAGATTCTAAATTTCATCTACTTTCCCCCGAAATATTTATTTTTCATCATTAAAAGAAAAGCAACTGGAGATTTTTATAACCAGATAGTTTTAGTAAGAATAACATATATTTGCCTTGCAGTATTTTAAAAAGTAAAATGGAGTTGTGTTTTGTAGCTAAACATTTTTCAAAATCTTATCAGTTCTATCGTTTCTAATTAGTAAGTATGTAAAATTTTTGCAGAAAATTTGTTAAACCTTGATGTGTAATGACCCAAGTCTACTTCTCAGTCAGTCTGTATCTTTCTTTGTTTAATAGCCTATGGCATAAATTGAAGTTAATTATCAGGGCCGACAAGTAACTCTGTTTTCTGTCTGCTTGCAGAGTCTCTCCGAGGCAAAGATGGAGCTGAGAAGAAAAGATCAATCTCTGCGTCAGCTCAATAGACATCTTACCCAGCTGGAGCAGGACAAGCGTCGACTGGAGGAGAACATCCATGATGCAGAAAGTGCCCTCCGCATGGCAGCCAAGTGAGCATTTGGACCTTGGGGAGATCACTTAAAACAGACAAAAGATCAATTCTTACTTTCATGCTCCGGGTTTTAGCCCTGGATAATACAGTGTTAGAAAACAAAAGTACAGCTGTCTCTCTTTGAAATTCTCTGATATATCCTCAAAAAAGAAAACTCTTAACATTCTAAATGTATATTTTATTGAGAAACTTCAGAAAAGTGTAAGTTTCTGTATAACCTCTAACTAAGTATGTGTGTTTAGGGCTCTGTTGCAGTGTTACATGTTAGAAACCATGTTTTTATTAATGCGAAATATAAGACTATTTAAAAGTTTTGTACAGTTTTTTCTATCACATATTCCTTTTCCCCTTCTGCCCCATTGCGCTCCATATTTTGTTATGCATATATTATAATATACTAATATTGCAAGTGATATTTCCACAAAGAAATTAAGTTAGTATACAATCAACATGTGTATCATAGCCTCTTTTTACGTGCAGTAAAAACATATTGATCATGGAAAAGTCATTTAATTTTATAGCTCTATGTTCTAATATGTTAACTAGAAAATATATACAGTTTTCAGAGTAGGCAACTATGTAAATGTGATGAGAGTGTTTTCCCTTTTACCAGGTAATCAAGTTGACATACAACATGAAGTTCAAATTGAACAGTTCTCTTGGGTATTTTTATTTGTTCCCCACATTAAATTACATAGAGTACTTTAAGACAGTCCTTTGTACAACAGCATGGTTTAAAGAAAATCTATTTATGGATTAAAGAAACATCTAATTTTAATAAACTCATTGTTTTCTAAATTTGGAATTCTGGATTCCTGTACTTACCAAAATATGTATTAATTAAGATTTTTTTGAGACAAACTCTTGTTAAATGCTTATCATGAAATATGAATGTAGTCTGTAAAGTAAATCACAGACAGGGAATCTGCAATCTTAGGATATCCACAGCTTTGCCAGTGGGCTTGGGAAATTGCCCATACGCGATGAAAAAATCAGTTTATACAAGGCCCAAATTTGGCATATTTGAATACCCACCAATAGTTTTTTTTTGAAAATTGTAAAGCTCTGTAGTATTGCATACCATATTAGATATATGTATTTGTCATTTGAAAAATATATGTAAGTTTGATGAAATCAGCTTTTTGTTTTCATTCTGTCTTAAGTTACCTCATGTCAAATGAGAAACTAAGCCTAGGTAATTTCTAGTGTGTCTTATAACTGAAAATTCAGAGATTAAGGAAAACAAGATTATAAAACCTCCAGATTCATATTGTATTTTCCAAACATTGCTGCTAATTCAGGAATTTGGCTTGTCTGTGAAATTTGGAAGGCTAATATATTACCTACAATTTTCAATTTATTATTTACTGTTAAATTTTAGTCTTCAGTGTTCTCATCCAAACTTTAAAAAAATTATTATGGGCAAATTTAATATACAAAGCTAATAGAAGAAACTAGTAACTTTGCATATTTCTATTCAAGGTCATTGATGGTTTGTGTGTAAATATTATAGCAAAAAAAGACTATATAGAAAGAAAACATTGTTTTGCATATTAGGGACTTTTAATGTATCCCTGCCAGTAAGATTTCAAAATTCTTTTTCATTAGAAACCAAAAGAATAAAAGTTTAGCCCATTCAGCACATCTTTAATCAATAATATAACCCTAATTTTGTTTTTCTTTCTTCATTTTTCACTTTTTTAACTTAAAATGTCCTTAAGATTTTTTTCCCTCTAATCTGTAACTGAAGATAAGAGTTAAATGTGTAAATATATCAGCGAATATAGTAAGGTTTTATACTTTTAGGAGTACAATGATAATTAACCCTTATTTTTCAATAATAGTGACATATCAAAATGTGTAACAGTTGTAATTTTACTAACTACAGTTGGATTTTACTAACACAATCTTTCTTTCTAGGGACAAAGAATGTGTTGCTAATCATATGAGAACAGTAGAAAACATGCTTCATAAGGTACTGTAATATTTCTTAAATATTATTTAACTCGTATTATGACACTGTTCTAGTCATTATTTTTATTAACTACAAAGCACTTTAATTCATTTTGTACTTTCTTTAAAAATAACAAAAAGATCCTTTCAAATGACTGAAAATTTATATTATACAATGCTTTATTTCATAACTTTTTTCTGAATTCACTTTATGTACTTGATAAAACTATGAAAATAATGGTTTCCCCAAACTGGTATAATTGCACTTGAATTATTTGTGGTCTTTGCTGAATGAACCAGAGCTCATTAAGATTCTTAAATGTCTCATAATGATAAAATGTTTGACCACAATGTCTAACCTCTCACAACTCTTAAACCTACTATCCTATATATGTATATTTATAAAGAGACATAATGTATTATATTTGGCAGTACTCATATACCTTAACTAGGCAGTAATGTTTTTCAAGTTATAATTTATGTTCTTATAAAAATGTATTTTTAAAGTAGATGTTTAACATATTTAGTGTTATATTATTCTCAAATTTGATTACTTCTCTATAAGGTAATTTTCAATTTGTAATGATAAGCAGCATAATAAGGATATTATGATATTACTAAGAACTTAATGTATTAACTGATTTCATGTTTTGTTAGCACTTCAGGTTCAAAGATGTGTTCACTATTTCATTATTTAAAAATAGAGAAATGTTATTTATGTGTTTCTGTTATTGTTTAATTGATACTTTGTTGAAAATATAAATCTAGTACTAAAGACATACGAATTCATGAATGAATCATATTTAGAAAAATTTTGTCAATCAATTTATTATATAATATAGTTTGCAAATCACTTAAAAATACCCTAAAAACTAACCCTTTTAAGGAGATATTCAATAAACATTAGCATACTAATATTTAATACATTTTACAATTTGGAAATGCTAAGCCTGTGTATTCTTTTAGGTATTTTAGAAAGTTACTAGCATTATTTCATATCACCAAAAGCATTTTGAAAAAAAAATCTAATATTCTGAGTGCTATTTTTTAAGTAATATTTGTTTGTAACTATCATTTCTCCTCCTCTCAATTTAAAAAAGTTTAGCCATTCAGTATAGTTTAAATATAGTCCCATATGTGCTAGAAATTTGAAATTTAGATTTGTAGGAAAAGAGACTTTTTTTTTGTGCTTGAGATAGGAAAAATCAATCATGTATATATGTGTCATACCTTTTATACAGTTAATGTTGCCTTTGAAATCCAATTATTTGTTCATCTTCCCAGCTAGAGGAAAAAAATGTTGAATGGCAGATGTCTCAGGCAATGGATATTGACATCAGAGAAAAACTGTGATCAATATGAAGTATAAATGTTACCTTATCCTTTCCTTATAAGAATGTCAAAATATATATTTTAAATATAATAAAAACTGATTCCCAACTGGACAATTATGGTTTTTTAGTTGCAATTCATCTTTTGATTTTAGTATCATATGGGAAGAAAGATATCTCTAGAATTGGGCTACAGTCACTGTAGATTTACTTTTGCTTTATGGCTTTTTTTTCTTTTAAAATTAATAGTTAATAATTTTGATGTCTTTAGAAATTTCTTGTTCATATAGTGGTTTTTAAATTATCGATTATTTTTAAAGCTTGATGTGAAAATTTAGGAAGGGTGAGAACAAACGGATTATAAGGAAGTGGCCCAGACAATCTTCCTGAAGTACTCAGGTTGGTGCAGAAGGTTAGCATGTAGACATGCCAGCATTCACAGGTTTATTTTTCTGGCCACCTTGGACTATCCAGTGGCCTTTCACTGTCTTGGAGAAACTAAGAGTAGTACAGAAGAATGGTTCAGGCTCTTTCACGGTCCGGTAAAAATGGCTGTATCCATTCCAAACTCTTTAGCAAAGTCAACCTATTCACATTTTCTCTTTCTTTTTGAGTCAGTTTTGGTAGTTTGTATTTTTCAAGGAATTTGTCTATTTCGTCTAGGTTATCTAGTTTGTTGACAAACAATTGTTCACTTTCTTAGAATTGATTTTATTTCTGTAAGGTCAGTAGTATATCACCACTTTCAGTCCTGATTTTAGTAATTCATTAATCTTTTTTTTCTTGGTACTTCTAGGTGAGGTTTGTCCATTTTGATGATCTTTTTAAGAAACCAAATTTGGTTTTCTTGACTTGCTCTATTGATTTTCTGTTTTCTTTTTCATTTGTCTCTGCTCTGATCTTTTTTATTTCCTTCCTCTGTTTTCTTTGGGTTTAGTTTACTTTCATTTTTCTACTTTCCTAAGACAGAGATTAGGTTATTGGTTTGAGATCTTTTTTTTTTTAATGTAGGTATTTACATCTGTAAATTTCCACCTGAACAGTTTTCATTGCATCCTATAAGTTTTGCTATATTGTGTTTTTGTTTTTATCTATCTCAGAATATTTTCTAATTTCCCTGTGATTTCTTCTCTGACTGATTTATTGTTTAAGAATGTGCTGTTTAATTTCCAAAATATTTGGGCATTTTTCTCATATTTTTTTTACTGTTGAGTTCTGATGTAATTCTGTATGGTTTGAATAGATATTTTGCTGGATTTCAATTCTTTCAAGTTTTAAACTTTTTCTTGAAGTTTGCTGTATGGTCCAGAATATGGTCTATCATGGTGAATGTTACTGCACATTTATAAAAAAGGAGTATTATGCTTTTGTTGGATATTCTACATATATCTGTTATGTCTGGTTGTTTTATAGTATCGTTCAAGTCTTCTAGTTCCTTGCTTATCTTTTTGTATAGTTGTTTTATCCATTAATGAAGTGAGATTTTGAAGTCTCCAACTATTATTGTTCAACTATTTCTCCCTTCCGTTTTGTCACTTTTTGCTTTATGTATTTTGGGATCCTGTTGTTAGGGTCATACATATCAGGAAATTGTTATATTTTCTTGGTGGATTGACTTTTTAATCATTATACAATCTTTTTTTGTATCTTATAAAATTTTTTGTCTTAAAGTTTTAAGTTTAAGTTGTATGATATTAATATAACCACTTCAGCTCTCCTTTGGTTATTGTTTGCATGAAAAATCTTTTTCTATCCATTTACTTTCAACTGATCTGTGTCTTTGTATCTACGATAAGTCTCTTGTAGACAGCATGTAGTTGAATCCATTCTGCCAATCTCCAACTTTTAATTGGAGAGTTTAATCAATTTACTTTTAATGTAATTGGTGATAAGGAAGGACTTTTGCCATTTTTTCTATATGTAGTTTATCTATATTGTTCTTCAGCTTCTGTATTAGTCCTCTCCCTTCTTGTGTGTGATAGGTAGATCTTTTCTAGTATAACATTTGATGCTCTTCTCTTTTGTTTTACTACATATTTTTAGTTATTTTTTTAGTGGTTGCTTTGAGGATTACAATTAACGTCTTAATTCACAACAATCTAGTTTGAATTAATACCCACTTAGTTTTAATAGTATACAAAAACTTTGCTCTTATATAGCTCTAGCTCCCATTTATGTTGTCCTTGTCACAGATTACATCTTTATACATTGTGTGCCCATCAACATAGTTTATTATTAATGTTTTATGTAATTGTTTTTTAAATCATATAGAGAAAAAAGACATTAACATTAGTACTGTCTTTAACAAAAAATACATTAGTACTGTCTTTCATATTTACCTATATAGTTACCTTTACTAGTATTCTTTATTTCTTCATGTGGATTTGAGTTACCTTTTAGTATCCTTTCATTTCAGACTGAATCACTACCTTTAGCATTTCTTCTAAGGTGGGTCTAGTAGGAATGAGTACCCTCAGCTATCATGTAGCTTGAAGTGGCTTAATTTCTCCTTCATTTTTTGAAGAATATTTTTGTTGGATATAGAATTATTGGTTGACAGTGCCTCCCTTCCCTGCCTCCCCCCTACCCCATTTCAGTACTTTGAATGTATCAACTCCAAAATTTCTATCTGGTTTCTTTTTATACTTTCTATCTCTTTACTTATATTTTCCCTTTTTGGTTTCCTTTGGTTCATTGCACATTATTTCCTTTAACTCTTAAAGAGTATTTAAAATAATTGATTTAAAGTTATTTGGTGGTAAATCCAATATCTAGGCTTCCTTAGGGACGGTTCTTATTTCTACTTTTCTTGTGTATGGATCATACTTTATTTCTTTGCATACTTTATAATATTTTGTTGAATAAAGTATATTCTGAATATTACAATGTGGCAACTCTGGAAATCAAATTCTTCCCCATCTCTAGTGTTCATTGTTACTGGCTACTCTAGTAGTGGTTGTTTGGTTAGTGACATCTCAAAACTAATTTCGTAAAATCTGTATTCTTTGTCATGTGTAGCCACTGAAATATCTTCTGTTAATTTAGTGGAAAGCTAGTGTTTCAACAGATTTCTTTAAATACCGAGATTCAGATGTTTTTTCCTTGATTAAGCTTTTGTCTGGTTGCCATAATATTTCATTTAGTTTCCAGAGTTCTGAAAAAGATGATTCTAATAAACTTTGCCAGTTTATTTGCTGCTTTTGTGGAAGATCTGGCTTTTGGAGTTCCTTCCTCCACATTTTTGTTAATATCACACACTAATATATATATATATTTTTCCATTGAGGCATTTTATTTGCACGTATCTATTACAGTCCTAGAAAAAGAATCCCAGGATTTTCCGTCCTTTGTGTTTTCGTCTTGCTTCTTCATGGTCCATGAGGCCTGCTAAAGTTGTCAGGACAGTGAAACCAACTGATAGGATGGGAACAGATTGTTCTGCCATTTTTCTAGATCTTTGAGTTGCATATCCAATCTGGGGCTGATGATTGTTTAACCCGACGGATCACTCCACACTTGTTTAGCATCTGGGGCTGATCACTCCACACTTGTTTAACCTGCCGGATCACTCCACACTTGTTTAGCCAATTTTCCCAGCTCTGTGATCATCAGTGTTTTCAGATTTGCCAATGTAACCATGCTTCGTCTTCACAGTCAGAAACCAGACGATGACTTTGGAGCACGGCCTAAT